TTACATGATAGTGTAGGTAAAGGCCGTGAGGCCTTCCCGGACGCCGTGTCTCAGGTAAGTGAGTGGTTGAATAGACATGCGGTGCAGGTGGGCAAGGCAACTGGGAATGTAAGTACTGAATTAGGATGGCTTAAGGAGCATTTATCAGGTAAGTACACTGAACAGATTCATAATACGCAGGGACTTCAAGAGCAACTCAAGGAGTGGAAGACTACACTAACTCACATAGAGAAACACGTTGAACATATAAAAAGTAATGTTAATAAATTAGATAAACCTTTGCACAGTAGCATCACACGTAAAATAGAACCACTTAGCGCGGCAGTGAAATTTTTGCTTAACTCTGCAAAGAGCGTGGGCTTAGAGCATCAGGTGCTTAAGGTGGACACTGAACTGCTGACCCAACGAGCAAACATGGAAAATGCTATCAGAATGGAGAGCGTGAAGGTCGAAGATACTTTGAAGGCACAAATCGAAAGGATTGGTAACGCTATTACCACGCTGAAAGGGACTAAGGAAAGGCATTTTGATGAGATTAGTGCGGCTCTCCGGGTAGCGAAAGAAAATGTTGATAAGTATTACAAGGAATTCGAGAAGGAGTTTAAAGACAAAATTACTAGGCATTTTGATGAGATCAAAAATGCGTTACATGACGTCGATAAGGATTCGCCATTCGGCGGAGACAAGGTGAATACCAGGCTGAACAGAGATGTTACTGCTATTAAGACGGTGCTTCTGAAGGTTGGCGACGAGCTCAGCGGACATGTTACAAATTTGGAGGAGAAAATTAGCACGGCGGCTGAGACTATGGACAGTGCCTTGTTGAAGGTAGAAAGCATATTGCAAGAAGTCGAAGGTGAGAAAGCGGTAAATAAGCGTGCCGTTGACACTGCAGTTCCAAGTTTGAAAGAGCGGACGGAACAGTGTTATGTGAAGTCCAAAACGGAGGAACTTAAGGGCTACGCCCACGAGGCCTGTGAAAAGCTGGAAAAGCTGGCCAACGCAGTAGAGAAGATGGTGGATGAGACCTTTTCGAGTGTTCAAGAAAACTATTTGGCACTGATTCAGGGAGTGAGTGCAACCGGGTTAAGTAGCACTGTTCAATTCACCGGTTCGCAATTGCAGCAGTGGAATCAGTCAGCCGAACAGATGCATAGCATCGGACAGAATGTTGACGGGGTTATCAAGCAGCATGGACATAAATATTCCGAGTTGTTGCAAACATTACAAACTTCGTCGCCGCTAATTCGGATGCAGCAGTTGCACCGAGATCTTCCAGGACTTCGAGCGTTCCTTCAGAAGCGTTCGTCCGCCGCTAATGCGACAGATGTCACACGACATCATCAAACTCTAAGTAGTTATGCATCTGCCACAAAATTAATGACGAACGCATTTGTAGATTCATTGATAGTTGAAATTCAGAATGCCGTACATAGCGCTGCCACTTTATCTGTTGATTCAGATGTGCAACAATTAACTCATTCTCTGGGCATTGCTTTACAGAATGCATCACAGTTTGCGCACGCACTTCAGTCACTTGATACGAAGCGTGTGAGGAGTAGTAGAGTCAGTATTTCTGAAATTTCTCGTCAAGTTGGCATTTTGATGCAAAGCGTACAACACTTTCATATTAGCTTTACTCGTGGTAAAACATTCATTCAAGATTTCGATATTGGCATTTCTCAAAACTTCAACAGGCTCCTCCAATCTGTTAAGAACGCCGCAGATGAAAAAAGTGGCCTCCAGCAAATTTTGACAGCGTTTAAAACTGACCAGATTGGTCATAAAACAAATGTGTCTGGTAGCGTTGGTCAAGTTCACCAAGAACTTAAGACTCTTCATACGAAGGAGTTCACCGAACAGTTGAGCGGCAGATCTACCGGCAGCATAACTAGCAGAATACAAAGTGCCATAAAGACTGTCATTGATATTGTTGGAGAGCTTGAGAAGGCGCCGCAATGCGTTGATCGAAAAAAGGAAGAGATGGGAAAACTAATGGATTATATTAAAGAACAATTTCGCCTTCTCCAAGGCAATATAAGTTTTATTTGCCAGAAAGTGCACCTAGCCCAGAAGGCGCTGAGTAAGGCGATACAGGATCTCCTAACCACACTAAATAGTGCGTATCGAAATTGCAACGATGCGCTCTCAAATCTGAAAAATGACCTCCTCGAAACAACCAATAAAGCCTTCCAAACCCTCACCTCCGCCATCCAATCCCTCTTCTCCGCCTCCCACGCCGCCGACCTCCAGGCCCTGCGCGCGCTCGTCGACCAGCAACTGCGGGAAGTGCAAACGATAATCGCGCGGGACGCAGTCACGGGCGTGAAGGGGATGCTGAAGGTATTACGTGGCGTTCCTATTACTGCTAAAAGTGCTGTAGATGACAAATATAATTTGCTTCATATTCTAAAAACAGTTGTGCCTTCCACAGATCTAAAGGCCGAGGAGTATGCAACAAAATTCTCCGAAGCATCAAAATGTTTAAGAAATTATCTAGATCCATTTGTAGAATACATCGAAAGCCAGGCAAAAAATCCGCCTAAAAATGATGGTCAACCGCCGCTTCCCACTGAGCAATCTGCTAAAGTCCGTGGCATTCAAAATGCCGTTGATGATTTACTCAAACATCTCAGTCATCATGAAGAGAGGCGTATTGATAAAGATACATCTGTAAAGCGTATTTACATTTTTGATGACTTATTCACTACACTTCTTCACAATCTTTCCTCCTCCATCTCCTCCCTCTCCCCCTCCACGTTCCACGGCTTCCACAATCCGCTGCTCCTCGACGCCCTCAGGCGCGGCATGGGCAATTTCACCGAGAAACTCTCCCGCGCGTACGTGAACGCTTATAGCGGGAAGACGTTTACTCAATTAGTGATTCCCAAAACGGACAATGATCCTCAATCCTCCGACAAGTTATCCACCGAGGGCCGCAACTGCGCCAAGGTCTGCCTGACCATACTGGAGAGGGTGAGTGAGGACTTGATGAAATTAAAAGAGAGATGCAAATATGAATGGCATTCGAAAGAAATCCACCGCATTAGCGGACTTGGCGCTTTTTTGAAAGATTGTGGTTATATTGTGTCTAATAGGGATAAGCAGGACGGTGAGCTGAGGCGTCATGAAAATATGACGGGCAATCATATACTTCAGAAACTTACTGCTACACTTGCGAACATCGGTGAAATTAATAAGCACCTGAAGGAGTGTGAGTCAAACAAAAAGAATGGCACCGATACGCAGCCACAAAATGATGATGTCAAAGTCTTTGCCATCCTTTCGTGCCTCATCACTCACTTCAGTGAATACAATAAAGTCGGCCACATTGCCACTTTCTCTGCTAAAAGAACACCATGCTCCGTCTATGAGATGCTCTCCTGGTGCTGCGGTCTCGAGTATAACAGTGCTTACTCAAAGATGCAGCAGCATTGTAAGACGTTGCATCAGGCGCTAGAAAAGGAAGAAAAAGAAAATGAGAAAATGAAAGATGTCAATGCGTATTTGAAAACTATATTGTCCAAAGTAGCAGAGCATGGCTTGCCGTATCTATCTAGCAATTCACGTAACTTGCTAACCGCTATCGCCGGCCACGGTGATGCAGAGACATTTTACGGCTGTGAGTTCTCCAACAATTCCCTTTCGCTCAAATACCCTGGCAGTGGAGCAGAGTGTCTTGACATGCTTCTAGATATTCTCCGTCGTTTGTTCCTGCCACTTAGATTCCTGGACGCTCAGTGTAGTCTATCAAACAAGCATTATGGCTGGGCCAATTGCCAATATGGCAAGGACATCGCTCCAGTCAACTGGCCATGCAAGGACCATTCAACCAACAAACCAAATGGACAGTCAGCGTCTAAACCAACTTGCCAGGCAAATGACCAACCAAATGGTCAACCAAACTGCCGACCAACTTCACCTTTAATGTCCTACTTAAATGACTGCTTGCCGGGTCACTTGCCTCATCAGTTAACCGATGCCGGTTGTAAGTCATCGTGTTCCACCTGTAAGACAGCTGCACGTGGCGTGCCTTGCTTGACGCCACTTGGCTTCAGAGGTTTCTCTGGAAGTACGCGCCTGGGCAAAGAGCTATGTAACGTGCTAACCAAAATGCTCGATGACGCTGAACTCAGATCCCTATTCTGCCTTAAACCGAAAACGCCGGCTACGCTGCCCGAACATTTCGGATTTGTGCTGTCCATGGTAAGGGGATGGGATCGCAAAAGAGAGCATTCGATGCTCACATGGTTTGATGAATCTATTACCAAGCAATCCATTGAATTATACAGTGACAATGCGCTCACCGGCGCGCTTCGTGATGCATATGGCAGCAGTCAGAGCACTCATGATGCTAAAAAGCATCAGACTAGACCAGTTAAAGACGCATACAATGAACCTTCAAAGGCCGACGTGTCCAGTCTGTCTATGACTATTACATGCCCTGGTGAGCAATGCGCTCCATATGTTGCATCACTCTGTGGCGATACATATGCTTACTTTGCTGAGAAGCATTGCAACACATATTTGTCATGGGCCATATATCTCCCATGGACATTTTGGGATTTACTCAACAATTTATACAATGCTTTCTGTGAAATCACTTGCGCAGATTGGGGATGCAGAGGATGCCTCAGAGGGGACAAGTGCAAGAGTGGCAAGCATGGCGTCGTGGAGGATGAGAAGAATCAAGATGCCACATGTCAGTGTGATTCTATAGTGAAATGCAGAGGCGTGGCACCGACGCTCTACCAGTATGGATTCACGTTTGGCGAGGCGTCGACGTTAAATAGTGGTAGCACAGTGAAGAAGTGTTCCGATTTCTGTAGTCAATTGAGGAATGTGCTGCACTCGGAATATTTCCAGAAGCTATTCGAGGAATGTGACAATTTCCTGAAAGCAATAAGATGGCCATTTATGCTAACGTTGTTAGCCCTCTGGTCCCTCTCTTTGCTCTACCTGCTGCACATCGCCGTCGTCCGCCTCGACGTCCTGAGGATACGCTCCCACCTGCGCTCGCCCTCAAGCCACCGCATCGCCGCGCAGTCCCTCCTCGCCGCCGCACGCGTCAAGGCACTCGCCAACGTCAAGTACTTCTCACCATAATCGTGCCTTCACGTGTGATCTGTGTTTCACTCACCCACCCACTCTCCTAATCACCCACCCACCCACCCACTCACTCACCCAACCACTCAACCACTCACCACCCACTCACCCACTCACTCACCCACTCACCCAACCACTCAACCACCCACTCACCCACTCAACCACCCACCCAGTCACCCACTCACCCACTCCACCCACCCCTCACCTTCGCTTTACGGTCGGCCTGCCTCCTCCTCCCTCACCTCCTCCGTCGGCGTCCTTCACCCAAATCCTCATTTTCCACTTTCCCCCTCCACCTCCGAAATCCCCTTACCTCCACCCATCTCACTCCTTCATCGCCCTCTTTCGCCCCTTCACCTCCCCCGCCCTGTCCACCCACCTCCCTCGCCGCCTCCGTCACCTAAAATCGCCTTTCTCCAAACTCCCCCAAATCGCCCTGAAAATGTGCCATTTTACCTTCTTTTTAATATTAAAGATGCCTATCAATCTCCTCAAAATGCCTCTGAAATTGACAAGCTTAATAAGGATCTGCAGTCTCATGAAGCCTCCAAGAAGTCTCTTGAGACACTGAATAAGCTTTGTGATTTTGCTGAGAAAGTTAATACAACTTCACAAAACGATAATTGTAAAGATCTTTTAGAAAACCTTTGCACAGGTCTGCAAACATTTTTGGGGTACAATGAAACTTCCAAAGGCTACTCGGGCGAAGGCATCGTGTACTCCGACCTTGACAGGCTCTGCGACGGGGTGATGTCTTTCCTTCATGGTGTTTTACATAACATTCAGCCTAAATTAGGCTTACATAGTGATAAGATTACAACAGCAATTAATGCTCTTAACACCCATAAACACTCTGGCAAAGAAGGTTTTAATGATGCGATTGGCAAGGTGGTCCAGGGGGTGAGGGAGTATAATGAGGGTGTTAGAAAATCTAATGAGCAAGTTAAAAATGTTGTAACTACACTTCAAGACTACACGAAGAAACAAGATGGTAAGTTACTTAATGACATTAATGATATTCAGGTTGACGAGAATTCTCGACCTCAAGAAGCGGAAGCTGCCAAGAAGAAAGTGGACGCCAGGCTGGAAGAATGCGGACGAAAGGCTTCGGCCTTTTGTAATAACCTAGCCACTAAGCACAATAAATTTGGAAATAGCGACACAATTAAACAATTTAATGATAAGTTGCGTGATAGAGTGTTACATGTTCGTGGCACAATAGAGTATGAGAAGGAGCGGCTGGCGAGGGAGCAAAAGCAGCGGGAGGAGGAGTTGAAGGCGACGACGGAGAAGATTAAGAGCGTGTTGAAAGAGCGTGAGACGGAGGTAAATGCGCACATTTGTAGAGAAGTAACTGCGGTTGTGCGGGAGGTGAAAGATAAGTTTCGGAGCATCTTGGCTGAACTTGAGAGAATTAGTCAGACACTGAGACAGCGCGTCGTGAACTTGGGAAAATGGATTGAACATGCGGATGCCGCCGTTAAGGCGGCGTTGACACAAGTGGAAAAGATATTAGATGTTGTTAATGAGAATAATTTAAGTAGCCATCCCGCGCTGATTAAATCGGCAGTGCAGCAGATTGAGTCAGCTGTCTTGGTACTTCATAGCTCTGGGGAGGCTGCCAGGAAGGAAGTCAAAGAAAAAGTTACCGCCGCCCTCGAGGCCGTGAAAGAGATGGACGACGAGCTGAAGAAGGATTTGTATAATGTTAAGGATAATATCAAGCGGGCGATTACACAGTTGGCTGGTACGTTGGACACCAATGTAAGGGAGGGTTTGACGGGGATGGAAAAGAGTATTACTGGGCCGCTTGGGAAGATTGTGGCGAGCTCGACGAGTTTTGATGAGGCTTTTAGGAAGACGAAAGAAGTTCTTACGGAGGCGGTCGGTATAGTGGCTGGGGACATCGGAAATCTTAAAGGGCTTACGGGTCTTAATACTATCGGTAAGGATTTTGACAACAAACTCAAGTTATTGAAAGCGATTAGGGGAGGGAAGTCCTTCGATAAGATAAATGAATACTTCACGAATATTGAGAAGAGCATTATGACGCCTATAAAGGATGCCATGGATAAGATAACGAAGGCATGGGATACCATTATTGGCTACGGTAGTGATACCTATGTAAAACATGCCATTACAGTCGATCGGAAACGACTTAAGGAGGAACTTCTTACACCACTTTCAACACTCAAAGGTATTGTTGATGGCAGTGGTCCGGAATTCAAGCTCCAGGAACTTCAAAAGAATCTCAAGGAGGTTGGTCTTGAACTTAACGGTGTTACGGAGCTGAAATCCAAGCTTAAAAACTTTTCAACAACTATCACCACGATTGCAACGCCTGGTAACAATATATCCAAGGACGAAGCAAAAAATCTACTCACCGATCTTGGTAACATCGCCAAAGCCGTATCTGAGCACTCGCGTGAGGTCGTCGAAAACGTCATGACAGAAATACAAACAAAGATCAAAGGAGACATTGGGGATGTGGCGGGGGCTGTTTTTGACAAAATAAGGAAGATTCAAGACGGTATAGATCATGATCACGAAAGTGAGGCTGACTACGGTCGAAAGGACAAAGCTAAAGGCCTCAAGGCTTTGGTGAAGGAATTTGATACCAGTATCAAAGGTGAGCTTGGAAACCTTAACGAAACTGTCACTACTCAAGTGTTTAAGAAGGTCCAGGCTCCGGGCTTTCTTGCTACAAGTTCACCTATTTACGCGATCGGGAACGAGCTCATGAACGCTTTCTACGGGACGTATAAAACACTCCACGGCGGTGTGCTTAACAACAGTTCAAACCAAGATATACTTAAAGCGCAATTCCCGGACGGGGGATATCATAGAGTTAATATTGATAAAAAGATTTTCGGCGGTTATGCTAATTACGTTAACCAAGAAAGCCTGGAAAAGGCAGCCCAAGACACCGATCAGCTAAAAGGCGCCCTTCCAGAGAAGATCAGGAAAATCCGAGATGAGGTGACCGGCGCATTAACGACGATTGACGATTTCAATGATCAGGCCATAGTGAAATTCACGGAAGTCAGTTCCAATCTCAGTAACCTGTGTTATGCTGTTAGGAACGCCGCTGCAGACGGTAAAGATAGTGCGAAAACAAAACTTATTCTCCTGAAAGAAACATACTTCGCAGAGTCCACAAGTGCCCAAAACAGCATTAACAAAATCCACAGTGACCTCAGTGAGCTGCAAAAAAAGCTGGAAAGCGGTCCCATCAAGGAGGCCAAAAGATATCTTTCGCACGTAGATCACTCGACTACTGCAACAATCAACCTGCTGGGAAACCATGTCAAACGTGAAATAGAAACAGCGCAGGAAGCTCTTACTACCCATGCGACAAGGCAGTACGTTAACGCCTTGAAAACTCTGCTCACCGAGTTCGCCGAAAAGCAGAGAAAGGTATTGGAAGGATTGCCGGACGAAATAGAGAAAGATTTGAAAATCGGCTACAAGGGCTTTATGGCAAAATTAGGAGAGCAGTTTGTTAAGAAGGTGGAACAAATTAAGACTATTGAGTAACATCCTCTTCTCCAGATAATTCTCCACTGAAGCGGGCCGCCGAAAATTGAAAGAGGCATTGACATCATTTTCCGGAGTGTTACAAAATCAATCCGATTTCATGTCCGACTCCAAGGTATCAAAGCCTTCGAACGACGCACTTACCAAATTACTCACTGGCCTCATAGATTCACAGCACTTTAATAAAGAAACAGGGCGTTTATATAACATATAAACAAAATCACTTCCCCAATTCCTATGGGAAATACGAAAGCATCTTCGACCTACCTCTTGCTAGCCTCAAGGTCGCTGTCGCTGACCTGTAGCTGCTGCACATCAACCGTCGTCCGCCTCGACGACCTGAGGATACGTATGCCCACCTGCGCTCCCCTCAAGCCACCGCATCGCCGCACAGTCGCTGCTCGCCGCCGCACGCGTCAGGGCACTCGCCAGCGTCAAGTACTTCTCACCATAATCGTGCCTTCACCCACATACTCAACCACCCACCCACTCAACCACTCAACCACTCACCCAACCACTCACCCACACACCCACCCACTCAACCACTCACCCACTCACCCACTCACCCAACCACTCACTCACCCACTCACTCACCCACTCACTCACCCACCCACTCAACCACTCACTCACCCACCCACTCACCTAATCACCCACTCAACCACTCACCCACCTACTCACCCACCCACTCACTCAACCACTCACCCACCTACTCACCCACCCACTCACTCAACCACCCACTCACATACTCACCCACTCACCCACTCACCCACCCACCCACTCACTCAACCACCCACTCACATACTCACCCACTCACTCACCCACTCAACCACCCACTCACTCACTCACCCACTCACTCACCCACATACTCAACCACTCAACCACCCACTCACCCACTCACCCACTCAACCACTCACCCACCCACTCAACCACCCACTCACTCACCCACTCTCCTCCCTCACTCACTCAACCACTCACTCACCCTCTCACTCACTCACCCACTCAACCACTCACCCACCCACTCAACCACCCACTCACTCACCCACTCGCTGCCTCCTTGACCTAATTTGACCTTTCTCCAAATTCCCCCAAATCGCACTAAAAATGTGCCTAAAATAATCCTTCAACATTTCTCAACTTCTTCACTTTCCTCTTATTAGCCCTCTGGTCGCTGTCGCACCTCTACCTGCTGCACATCGCCGTCGTCCGCCTCGACGTCCTGAGGATACGCTCCCACCTGAGATCACCCTCAAGCCACCGCATCGCCGCGCAGTCCCTCCTCGCCGCCGCACGCGTCAGGGCACTCGCCAACGTCAAGTACTTCTCACCATAATCGTGCCTTCACGTGTGATCTGTGTATCACTCACTCACCACCCACTCAACCACTCAACCACTCAACCACCCACTCAACCACTCACCCACTCACATACTCACTCACTCACTCAACCACTCAACCACCCACTCAACCACTCAACCACTCAACCACTCAACCACTCAACCACCCACTCACCCACTCACTCAACCACCCACTCACTCAACCACTCACCCACCCACTCACCCAACCACTCACTCAACCACTCAACCACTCAACCACTCAACCACTCAACCACTCAACCACCCACCCACTCAACCACCCACCCACTCAACCACTCACCCACTCAACCACCTAACCACTCAACCACTCACTCACCCACTCACCCAACCACTCAACCACCCACTCACTCACCCACCCACTCACCTCCTCCTTCACTGGTCGCTTCGCTCCCTCCTCCATCACCTCCTCCGTCGGCGTCCCTCACCCAAAACCTTTATTTCAAAAAAATTCCATTGACCCCCTAAATCGCCTCTCCTCAACCCATCTTCCTCCTTCATCGCCCTCTTTCGCCCCTTCTTTTCCCTCACCCTGTCCGCCCACCTCCCTCACCCCGTCACTGCCTCCTTGACCTAAAATCGCCTTTCCCCAAATTCCCCCAAATCACCCTTAAAATGTGCCTAAAATAATCCTTCAACAGCATTATTAAATAACCTCTGCACAGGCCTCGAAAAATTTCTCGGCTACGATAATGGTAATTACACCGGCGAGGGCATCGTGTACTGCGACCTTGACAGGCTGTGCGACGGGGTGATGGCGTTCCTTCATGGTGTTTTACATAGCATTAAAGACAAATTAGGCCAGCATAAAGACACTTTAACTAGCGCACTTAAGTCACTTAAAGACAAAAATAATAATGGTATTACTAAATACAGGACGGCGATAGCCGAGGTGGCCAGTGGAGTACGTACATATAATGAGAGTGTTAGAAAATCAAATGATGATGTGAAAAGTGTTATTAATAAATTGCGTGATGATGTTGGTAGACGTTTTGTAAATGAAGTAAATAACATTTTGCGTAATGGAGATGGAGACAATAGTGCAGTCAAGAAGGCCGCGCAGTTAATCCATGACAGGTTGACAACGTGTATTGATAATGCCGGCAACTTTATAAATAGGTCAAAGAATTTACAAATAGAAATAAATGACCTGAATCCCGAAGCAAAATTAAGAGTGAATAATGCGACAAAGAACATTGCCCATGAATACCATAGGCTCTGTGTCTCGTCGGCTAAGGAGTTTAGGACTTACATCATATGACGGAGAAGATTACGAAAACATTAAATGCTCTTAGAGAGACTGTAAAGCAGAATATTTGTGACAGAGTGAACGGTGTCGTTAACTTTCTGAAGGAGAAAGTTAAAGGAATTTTGACTAAACTTCTCGAAGTGAAACACAGCCTTGGACAGTACATTAAGGCGCTGCAAAAATGGATGAAACAAGCAAAAGAGTTTATTGAGCAGAATCCGCAGATGAAAGTTAACGAAATATTAAAGGAAGTAAAAGACCCGGCGGAGCCAAATAGGGATAGGAAAAATCTTGAAGATACGATTAAGAATGTTGATGAAACGCTGAAGAAAAAAGTTGAGGAACTTGGCGCTTGGAAAGACGCGGCCGGGAAAGTTGTGCAAGCGGCGCAGGGGAAGTGTGATGCAATTGTTAAGAAAGTTGGTAGTTCAGGTGGGGACGCTGTGATTTTTACTCAAGCTCAAGATATGAGCACAAAGGCTGAGAGTCTCAGGCAGGCGGCGGAGAGTGTTAAGAGGGATATTGGGGGATGGGTGCAGGGGGCGACGGATAAGGTGACGGAGTTGGAAACCTATCTAAGGAGCAGCCTGTATAAGAAAAGAGAAGAAATGAAGACTCAGATCAAAACTTATATTACAAAGCAAATTCAAGCCATAGTAGACGCGGCGGGAAAGGCGACGTCTAGCAACGGCGTCGATGTATCCGGTGGGCAAGCGGCTCTACAGGGTGTTGCTGAGTTGGGTGGCAATTTTAAAAAGTGGGTAACTGAGCTTACAAAACAGGCAGCACTGGAAGATATCCTGTTCTCGCTTCAATATAATCTTAAAAAGCACAATAACAAAGTACTTCCAACAGTCGACGAACAAAATGTACTCGTAAAGGCTCTTTTCACCGACCTTGGCGGCAAGGTGGATGAAGGGTTGCCGAATGGAGGAAGAGGACCATCGGAACAAATAAACTTAATGGATACACTTGGGGAATATAGAGATAAAAAGCAGACGCTTACCGGTGCAATCACGACTATAGGATCTAACGTGACTCAAAACCTTGACGGAACTTGTAGTGAGAACAGCGGAATAATTGGTGACAAGAATACCTTCCAACAACCCTTCTCCCAAATCAAAGAACAACTCACAGCGATCGCCGGCCTGGTCGACAGCGACCAAACAAAGCCGGACCCACCTACCAAAAAAACAGGCGTCAAAAACTACCTGACTGATCTTGAGAAGATGCTTACCGAGCAACCAAATTATCCCCTTACCACCCAGCTAGATAAAACGTACACCGTCCAAGGCCTCGCGCTGATCAAGACGGATATTGAGGCGCTGCAAAGGACACTGTTCCCCAGCTGACCAGCAACCTAAATTACCTGTGCAACTCCATTAAACGTATTGCCAACGAAATCGTAGGGAATTTGGAAGTGCTGAAAAATGAAAAAATTGGCGATGAGCTTAACAAAATTTATGATGATCTCAGCAAGCTTCATACCTGCATCCAGACTGACGTCATCACCTTGGCAGATAAGTTCATCGACAAAGAAGCCGACACACAATGCCGTCTGACGATCTCGCTGCTTCACACCTGCGTAGACGGACAGGTGGACTCCGCTATCTGCGAACTCACAGCGCAGTCCCAGAAGAATTACGTGTCCTCTGTACAGAGCCTGTTGATAGCCTTCGCCGAGAAGGTTCAGGGGGAGTTACAACATTTACCGACTGAGCTTGAAAGGGACCTGGAGACAGGCCACAAAGGATTCATGGCGAACTTGGAGAAGTATTTCGTTAAGAAAGTTACAGGACTTCGAGACTTGTCTCCGACGTCCCCTCCAATAACCACATCCAAGGGCAGGAAAATGTATCCACTCGGTCAGGCCGTCATGAAATTGAGCACTGCATTTAGGTCATTCTACAGCAACCTGAAATCGCAAGAGGATTTCACTGCCGACTCCGGGCGTCTGCAAGATCCGAATGACGCCCTGCTCAATTTGCTTAACAAACTCGTCACTTCGCAGCACTTCAACCAGACATTTAGAGATAATGTAGAGTCACTCGAAAAAACATTCACTACATTTAGTCCTCAAATATATGGCGAAGCAGAGAGCCCTTTGCTACTCAACGCTTTAAAGAATGGTTTCACATCCCTTGTCTCCGAACTCCAGAAAGCGTACGTCTCCACATACTCCCAGCAGAAAATTAGGTGGGATAACATCGATGACACTGAGAGAGAAAAGTACGCTAAAATCGCCTTGACACTTACGCCCACCGTATATGAAGCATTAACACAGCTCAAGGAAGGGCTTGAGAAACACGATGAGCTGTGGACAACTTATAGCATTTATAATTCCTCGAACACTGCTAATGCCTTACATAAATTATTCTTCCGTGAAAACGGTTACGATAGTAAGCTTCCTGTAAACGTCGCGGCCGGCGAATTAAATCACAAAAAAGGTTTCACTGGTAATAATATTCTTACACTTCTTGATAGTGATACATGTGAATTGTTTGAGAGTAGCAAACAGCCGCTTGACGACGACACTCTGAATGTCGACTTGGTAGAAGTTGGTGTTCTCCAAAACTATTTGATCACCTTCATAAATACTTCGACGTCCGTCACTTACATCACATCGACAAACCTAGGTCACCGTGTAGCATCTATGACATGTCCCTATGGCTGTCCGGCCTCCCGCATAACCCTGTTTATGAAAAACTTAAGCAGCAGATTAAGACGATGTTCGAAGTGCCAAGTGAGACAGATCCTTCTCAGAAAATCGTGAAGCCTATGAACGCCCATCCACAACAGTTTACACATGATGAAATACATTCTGCACTTAAAGAAGTTACAGCAAACGCGTACTCACTGCTGACTGGCGTCGTCGGGCATGGCGATGCAGCAACGTTTTATGCGTGCGAGTTCCCTACCAACTCCCTCAGCCTGAAATATCCCAGTTCCGGCGCGGAGTGTCTTGATATGCTGCTTGATATCCTTCGACGGATGTTCCCGGTGCTCACATACTTACATACTCAGTGTAGCCTACGTGATAAGCACGGCGGCTGGCGTGACTGCTACTACGGCAAAGATATCAAGTCAACCAAATGGTCCTGCAAAGACCATGTTACCGACAAAGCTACGTGCCAACCAAAGTGCCAGGCAAACACCAAAGCAAGCTGCCAACCAACGTCTCCACTTATGTCATACTTAAACGATAGCTTACATGGTCACTTGCCTCATGATGTAACCTCTATTGGTTGCAAGTCATCTTGTTCCACGTGCTCTAAAAACCCACCAGGAATGCCGTGTCTCCCTCCCCTCGGTTTCAGAGCATTCTCGAACAGTACGCATACAGGGAGAGACCTGTGCGAACTGCTAGAAGAATTGGTCGGTAAAAGAGGAGTACTAACCAAACTCTATGCGCCGCTTGCTTGCCTTCTCAACCGCCCACCGCAGTGGTTCCCTGACATATTTTCGTTTTACTGCCAACTCACCAAGGAATGGAAGTGGATGGACGAAGCTGAACACAAACGCCATCCCATTCAAAATGCCATTTCTGGCGCTATCGAGAGAACAGTTGCCTGTGATCATAATGTTGCAAGAGAGTTACTTGACTCGTGCCGCCATTTGTCTAAATGCGCATCTCACACGTCTCATGATCTGAATAATAACCCCGACCTGACGTATTTTGTTGGATGCCAAAATGAATACTGCGGCAAATATTTCACACCCTCAATCATGCTGCGTACTCCACATTTGCAACCAAATATGCGAGTCAGTATTTGTCGGTGTTACTTTACGCTGGACCTAAAATTCAGGCATTCTTCGAACAGTTATCTAATGCATACACATCTGTTTCTTGCTACGACTCAGGTTGCAGGGGCTGCCTCAACAATAATGGATGTCGAATTGGAAAACACGGCACTGCCCGTTGTGGATGCAATTCCATGGTTGACTGCAAGGCAGTTATCTCCGTATTTTATCAGCATGGTCTAAACTACACGGACATCACCAACAAAACAAAGACGAATTGCGTCTTTCTCTATGACGAAATATCTGCATTTCTAAAAGGTGAGCGGTTAAACACATTTTTGAATGCCATCGATAAATTCATATGGGCGATAAGAGAGAAATTCTCCATTACTTTATTAGCCCTCTGGTCCCTCTCTTTGCTCTACCTGCTGCACATCGCCGTCGTCCGCCTCGACGTGCTGAGGATACGCTCCCACCTGAGATCACCCTCAAGCCACCGCATCGCCGCGCAGTCGCTGCTCGCCGCCGCACGCGTCAAGGCACTCGCCAACGTCAAGTACTTCTCGCCGTAATCGTGCCTTCACGTGTGATCTGTGTATCACCCACTCACCCACTCACCCACTCACCCACCCACTCACATAATCACTCAACCACCCACTCAACCAATCACTCACTCACTCACTCACTCACCCACTCACCCACTCACCCAACCACTCAACTACTCACCCACTCACTCACTCACTCACCCACTCACATAATCACTCACTCACCCACTCAACCACTCACCCACTCACTCAACTCACTCACTCAACCACCCACTCAACCACTCACTCAACCACTCAACCACCCACTCAACCACCCACCTACTCACCCACTCACATACTCACTCACTCACTCAACCACTCAACCACTCACTCAACCACTCAACCACCCACTCAACCACCCACCTACTCACCCACTCACATACTCACTCACTCACTCAACCACTCAACCACTCACTCAACCACTCAACCACTCAACCACTCAACCACTCAACCACTCAACCACCCACCCACTCAACCACCCACCCACTCAACCACTCACCCACTCAACCACCTAACCACTCAACCACTCACTCACCCACTCACCCAACCACTCAACCACCCACTCACTCACCCACCCACTCACCTCCTCCTTCACTGGTCGCTTCGCTCCCTCCTCCATCACCTCCTCCGTCGGCGTCCCTCACCCAAAACCTTAATTTCAAAAAAATTCCATTGACCCCCTAAATCGCCTCTCCTCAACCCATCTTCCTCCTTCATCGCCCTCTTTCGCCCCTTCTTTTCCCTCACCCTGTCCGCCCACCTCCCTCACCCCGTCACTGCCTCCTTGACCTAAAATCGCCTTTCCCCAAATTCCCCCAAATCACCCTTAAAATGTGCCTAAAATAATCCTTCAACAGCATTATTAAATAACCTCTGCACAGGCCTCGAAAAATTTCTCGGCTACGATAATGGTAATTACACCGGCGAGGGCATCGTGTACTGCGACCTTGACAGGCTGTGCGACGGGGTGATGGCGTTCCTTCATGGTGTTTTACATAGCATTAAAGACAAATTAGGCCAGCATAAAGACACTTTAACTAGCGCACTTAAGTCACTTAAAGACAAAAATAATAATGGTATTACTAAATACAGGACGGCGATAGCCGAGGTGGCCAGTGGAGTACGTACATATAATGAGAGTGTTAGAAAATCAAATGATGATGTGAAAAGTGTTATTAATAAATTGCGTGATGATGTTGGTAGACGTTTTGTAAATGAAGTAAATAACATTTTGCGTAATGGAGATGGAGACAATAGTGCAGTCAAGAAGGCCGCGCAGTTAATCCATGACAGGTTGACAACGTGTATTGATAATGCCGGCAACTTTATAAATAGGTCAAAGAATTTACAAATAGAAATAAATGACCTGAATCCCGAAGCAAAATTAAGAGTGAATAATGCGACAAAGAACATTGCCCATGAATACCATAGGCTCTGTGTCTCGTCGGCTAAGGAGTTTAGGGACTTACATCATATGACGGAGAAGATTACGAAAACATTAAATGCTCTTAGAGAGACTGTAAAGCAGAATATTTGTGACAGAGTGAACGGTGTCGTTAACTTTCTGAAGGAGAAAGTTAAAGGAATTTTGACTAAACTTCTCGAAGTGAAACACAGCCTTGGACAGTACATTAAGGCGCTGCAAAAATGGATGAAACAAGCAAAAGAGTTTATTGAGCAGAATCCGCAGATGAAAGTTAACGAAATATTAAAGGAAGTAAAAGACCGGCGGAGCCAAATAGGGATAGGAAAAATCTTGAAGATACGATTAAGAATGTTGATGAAACGCTGAAGAAAAAAGTTGAGGAACTTGGCGCTTGGAAAGACGCGGCCGGGAAAGTTGTGCAAGCGGCGCAGGGGAAGTGTGATGCAATTGTTAAGAAAGTTGGTAGTTCAGGTGGGGACGCTGTGATTTTTACTCAAGCTCAAGATATGAGCACAAAGGCTGAGAGTCTCAGGCAGGCGGCGGAGAGTGTTAAGAGGATATTGGGGATGGGTGCAGGGGGCGACGGATAAGGTGACGGAGTTGGAAACCTATCTAAGGAGCAGCCTGTATAAGAAAAGAGAAGAAATGAAGACTCAGATCAAAACTTATATTACAAAGCAAATTCAAGCCATAGTAGACGCGGCGGGAAAGGCGACGTCTAGCAACGGCGTCGATGTATCCGGTGGGCAAGCGGCTCTACAGGGTGTTGCTGAGTTGGGTGGCAATTTTAAAAAGTGGGTAACTGAGCTTACAAAACAGGCAGCACTGGAAGATATCCTGTTCTCGCTTCAATATAATCTTAAAAAGCACAATAACAAAGTACTTCCAACAGTCGACGAACAAAATGTACTCGTAAAGGCTCTTTTCACCGACCTTGGCGGCAAGGTGGATGAAGGGTTGCCGAATGGAGGAAGAGGACCATCGGAACAAATAAACTTAATGGATACACTTGGGGAATATAGAGATAAAAAGCAGACGCTTACCGGTGCAATCACGACTATAGGATCTAACGTGACTCAAAACCTTGACGGAACTTGTAGTGAGAACAGCGGAATAATTGGTGACAAGAATACCTTCCAACAACCCTTCTCCCAAATCAAAGAACAACTCACAGCGATCGCCGGCCTGGTCGACAGCGACCAAACAAAGCCGGACCCACCTACCAAAAAAACAGGCGTCAAAAACTACCTGACTGATCTTGAGAAGATGCTTACCGAGCAACCAAATTATCCCCTTACCACCCAGCTAGATAAAACGTACACCGTCCAAGGCCTCGCGCTGATCAAGACGGATATTGAGGCGCTGCAAAAGGACACTGTTCCCCAGCTGACCAGCAACCTAAATTACCTGTGCAACTCCATTAAACGTATTGCCAACGAAATCGTAGGGAATTTGGAAGTGCTGAAAAATGAAAAAATTGGCGATGAGCTTAACAAAATTTATGATGATCTCAGCAAGCTTCATACCTGCATCCAGACTGACGTCATCACCTTGGCAGATAAGTTCATCGACAAAGAAGCCGACACACAATGCCGTCTGACGATCTCGCTGCTTCACACCTGCGTAGACGGACAGGTGGACTCCGCTATCTGCGAACTCACAGCGCAGTCCCAGAAGAATTACGTGTCCTCTGTACAGAGCCTGTTGATAGCCTTCGCCGAGAAGGTTCAGGGGGAGTTACAACATTTACCGACTGAGCTTGAAAGGGACCTGGAGACAGGCCACAAAGGATTCATGGCGAACTTGGAGAAGTATTTCGTTAAGAAAGTTACAGGACTTCGAGACTTGTCTCCGACGTCCCCTCCAATAACCACATCCAAGGGCAGGAAAATGTATCCACTCGGTCAGGCCGTCATGAAATTGAGCACTGCATTTAGGTCATTCTACAGCAACCTGAAATCGCAAGAGGATTTCACTGCCGACTCCGGGCGTCTGCAAGATCCGAATGACGCCCTGCTCAATTTGCTTAACAAACTCGTCACTTCGCAGCACTTCAACCAGACATTTAGAGATAATGTAGAGTCACTCGAAAAAACATTCACTACATTTAGTCCTCAAATATATGGCGAAGCAGAGAGCCCTTTGCTACTCAACGCTTTAAAGAATGGTTTCACATCCCTTGTCTCCGAACTCCAGAAAGCGTACGTCTCCACATACTCCCAGCAGAAAATTAGGTGGGATAACATCGATGACACTGAGAGAGAAAAGTACGCTAAAATCGCCTTGACACTTACGCCCACCGTATATGAAGCATTAACACAGCTCAAGGAAGGGCTTGAGAAACACGATGAGCTGTGGACAACTTATAGCATTTATAATTCCTCGAACACTGCTAATGCCTTACATAAATTATTCTTCCGTGAAAACGGTTACGATAGTAAGCTTCCTGTAAACGTCGCGGCCGGCGAATTAAATCACAAAAAAGGTTTCACTGGTAATAATATTCTTACACTTCTTGATAGTGATACATGTGAATTGTTTGAGAGTAGCAAACAGCCGCTTGACGACGACACTCTGAATGTCGACTTGGTAGAAGTTGGTGTTCTCCAAAAACTATTTGATCACCTTCATAAATACTTCGACGTCCGTCACTTACATCACATCGACAAACCTAGGTCACCGTGTAGCATCTATGACATGTCCCTATGGCTGTCCGGCCTCCCGCATAACCCTGTTTATGAAAAACTTAAGCAGCAGATTAAGACGATGTTCGAAGTGCCAAGTGAGACAGATCCTTCTCAGAAAATCGTGAAGCCTATGAACGCCCATCCACAACAGTTTACACATGATGAAATACATTCTGCACTTAAAGAAGTTACAGCAAACGCGTACTCACTGCTGACTGGCGTCGTCGGGCATGGCGATGCAGCAACGTTTTATGCGTGCGAGTTCCCTACCAACTCCCTCAGCCTGAAATATCCCAGTTCCGGCGCGGAGTGTCTTGATATGCTGCTTGATATCCTTCGACGGATGTTCCCGGTGCTCACATACTTACATACTCAGTGTAGCCTACGTGATAAGCACGGCGGCTGGCGTGACTGCTACTACGGCAAAGATATCAAGTCAACCAAATGGTCCTGCAAAGACCATGTTACCGACAAAGCTACGTGCCAACCAAAGTGCCAGGCAAACACCAAAGCAAGCTGCCAACCAACGTCTCCACTTATGTCATACTTAAACGATAGCTTACATGGTCACTTGCCTCATGATGTAACCTCTATTGGTTGCAAGTCATCTTGTTCCACGTGCTCTAAAAACCCACCAGGAATGCCGTGTCTCCCTCCCCTCGGTTTCAGAGCATTCTCGAACAGTACGCATACAGGGAGAGACCTGTGCGAACTGCTAGAAGAATTGGTCGGTAAAAGAGGAGTACTAACCAAACTCTATGCGCCGCTTGCTTGCCTTCTCAACCGCCCACCGCAGTGGTTCCCTGACATATTTTCGTTTTACTGCCAACTCACCAAGGAATGGAAGTGGATGGACGAAGCTGAACACAAACGCCATCCCATTCAAAATGCCATTTCTGGCGCTATCGAGAGAACAGTTGCCTGTGATCATAATGTTGCAAGAGAGTTACTTGACTCGTGCCGCCATTTGTCTAAATGCGCATCTCACACGTCTCATGATCTGAATAATAACCCCGACCTGACGTATTTTGTTGGATGCCAAAATGAATACTGCGGCAAATATTTCACACCCTCAATCATGCTGCGTACTCCACATTTGCAACCAAATATGCGAGTCAGTATTTGTCGGTGTTACTTTACGCTGGACCTAAAATTCAGGCATTCTTCGAACAGTTATCTAATGCATACACATCTGTTTCTTGCTACGACTCAGGTTGCAGGGGCTGCCTCAACAATAATGGATGTCGAATTGGAAAACACGGCACTGCCCGTTGTGGATGCAATTCCATGGTTGACTGCAAGGCAGTTATCTCCGTATTTTATCAGCATGGTCTAAACTACACGGACATCACCAACAAAACAAAGACGAATTGCGTCTTTCTCTATGACGAAATATCTGCATTTCTAAAAGGTGAGCGGTTAAACACATTTTTGAATGCCATCGATAAATTCATATGGGCGATAAGAGAGAAATTCTCCATTACTTTATTAGCCCTCTGGTCCCTCTCTTTGCTCTACCTGCTGCACATCGCCGTCGTCCGCCTCGACGTGCTGAGGATACGCTCCCACCTGAGATCACCCTCAAGCCACCGCATCGCCGCGCAGTCGCTGCTCGCCGCCGCACGCGTCAAGGCACTCGCCAACGTCAAGTACTTCTCACCGTAATCGTGCCTTCACCTGTGATCTGTGTATCACCCACTCAACCACTCACTCAACCACTCAACCACCCACTCAACCACCCACCTACTCACCCACTCACATACTCACTCACTCACTCAACCACTCAACCACTCACTCAACCACTCAACCACCCACTCAACCACCCACCTACTCACCCACTCACATACTTCATCACTACTACCACTCAAACACTCAACCACTTCAACCACTCAACCACATAAACCACTCAACCATTCAACTACCCACCTACTCAACTTCCACCCACTCAACCACTTACCTACTCAACCACTTAACCACTCAAACTTCACTCAACTTCAACCACTTCCACCACCCACTCACTCACCCACCCACTCACCTCCTCCTTCACTGGTCGCTTCGCTCCCTCCTCCATCACCTCCTCCGTCGGCGTCCCTCACCCAAAACCTTAATTTCAAAAAAATTCCATTGACCCCTAAATCGCCTCTCTCAACCCATCTTCCTCCTTCATCGCCCTCTTTCGCCTTCTTTTCCCTCACCCTGTCCGCCCACTCCCTCACCCCGTCACTGCCTCCTTGACCTAAAATCGCCTTTCCCAAATTCCCCAAATCACCCTTAAAATGTGCCTAAAATAATCCTTCAACAGCATTATTAAATAACCTCTGCACAGGCCTCGAAAAATTTCTCGGCTACGATAATGGTAATTACACCGGCGAGGGCATCGTGTACTGCGACCTTGACAGGCTGTGCGACGGGGTGATGGCGTTCCTTCATGGTGTTTTACATAGCATTAAAGACAAATTAGGCCAGCATAAAGACACTTTAACTAGCGCACTTAAGTCACTTAAAGACAAAAATAATAATGGTATTACTAAATACAGGACGGCGATAGCCGAGGTGGCCAGTGGAGTACGTACATATAATGAGAGTGTTAGAAAATCAAATGATGATGTGAAAAGTGTTATTAATAAATTGCGTGATGATGTTGGTAGACGTTTTGTAAATGAAGTAAATAACATTTTGCGTAATGGAGATGGAGACAATAGTGCAGTCAAGAAGGCCGCGCAGTTAATCCATGACAGGTTGACAACGTGTATTGATAATGCCGGCAACTTTATAAATAGGTCAAAGAATTTACAAATAGAAATAAATGACCTGAATCCCGAAGCAAAATTAAGAGTGAATAATGCGACAAAGAACATTGCCCATGAATACCATAGGCTCTGTGTCTCGTCGGCTAAGGAGTTTAGGGACTTACATCATATGACGGAGAAGATTACGAAAACATTAAATGCTCTTAGAGAGACTGTAAAGCAGAATATTTGTGACAGAGTGAACGGTGTCGTTAACTTTCTGAAGGAGAAAGTTAAAGGAATTTTGACTAAACTTCTCGAAGTGAAACACAGCCTTGGACAGTACATTAAGGCGCTGCAAAAATGGATGAAACAAGCAAAAGAGTTTATTGAGCAGAATCCGCAGATGAAAGTTAACGAAATATTAAAGGAAGTAAAAGACGGCGGAGCCAAATAGGGATAGGAAAAATCTTGAAGATACGATTAAGAATGTTGATGAAACGCTGAAGAAAAAAGTTGAGGAACTTGGCGCTTGGAAAGACGCGGCCGGGAAAGTTGTGCAAGCGGCGCAGGGGAAGTGTGATGCAATTGTTAAGAAAGTTGGTAGTTCAGGTGGGGACGCTGTGATTTTTACTCAAGCTCAAGATATGAGCACAAAGGCTGAGAGTCCAGGCAGGCGGCGGAGAGTGTTAAGAGGGATATTGGGGATGGGTGCAGGGGCGACGGATAAGGTGACGGAGTTGGAAACCTATCTAAGGAGCAGCCTGTATAAGAAAAGAGAAGAAATGAAGACTCAGATCAAAACTTATATTACAAAGCAAATTCAAGCCATAGTAGACGCGGCGGGAAAGGCGACGTCTAGCAACGGCGTCGATGTATCCGGTGGGCAAGCGGCTCTACAGGGTGTTGCTGAGTTGGGTGGCAATTTTAAAAGTGGGTAACTGAGCTTACAAAACAGGCAGCACTGGAAGATATCCTGTTCTCGCTTCAATATAATCTAAAAAGCACAATAACAAAGTACTTCCAACAGTCGACGAACAAAATGTACTCGTAAAGGCTCTTTTCACCGACCTTGGCGGCAAGGTGGATGAAGGGTTGCCGAATGGAGGAAGAGGACCATCGGAACAAATAAACTTAATGGATACACTTGGGGAATATAGAGATAAAAAGCAGACGCTTACCGGTGCAATCACGACTATAGGATCTAACGTGACTCAAAACCTTGACGGAACTTGTAGTGAGAACAGCGGAATAATTGGTGACAAGAATACCTTCCAACAACCCTTCTCCCAAATCAAAGAACAACTCACAGCGATCGCCGGCCTGGTCGACAGCGACCAAACAAAGCCGGACCCACCTACCAAAAAAACAGGCGTCAAAAACTACCTGACTGATCTTGAGAAGATGCTTACCGAGCAACCAAATTATCCCCTTACCACCCAGCTAGATAAAACGTACACCGTCCAAGGCCTCGCGCTGATCAAGACGGATATTGAGGCGCTGCAAAAGGACACTGTTCCCCAGCTGACCAGCAACCTAAATTACCTGTGCAACTCCATTAAACGTATTGCCAACGAAATCGTAGGGAATTTGGAAGTGCTGAAAAATGAAAAAATTGGCGATGAGCTTAACAAAATTTATGATGATCTCAGCAAGCTTCATACCTGCATCCAGACTGACGTCATCACCTTGGCAGATAAGTTCATCGACAAAGAAGCCGACACACAATGCCGTCTGACGATCTCGCTGCTTCACACCTGCGTAGACGGACAGGTGGACTCCGCTATCTGCGAACTCACAGCGCAGTCCCAGAAGAATTACGTGTCCTCTGTACAGAGCCTGTTGATAGCCTTCGCCGAGAAGGTTCAGGGGGAGTTACAACATTTACCGACTGAGCTTGAAAGGGACCTGGAGACAGGCCACAAAGGATTCATGGCGAACTTGGAGAAGTATTTCGTTAAGAAAGTTACAGGACTTCGAGACTTGTCTCCGACGTCCCCTCCAATAACCACATCCAAGGGCAGGAAAATGTATCCACTCGGTCAGGCCGTCATGAAATTGAGCACTGCATTTAGGTCATTCTACAGCAACCTGAAATCGCAAGAGGATTTCACTGCCGACTCCGGGCGTCTGCAAGATCCGAATGACGCCCTGCTCAATTTGCTTAACAAACTCGTCACTTCGCAGCACTTCAACCAGACATTTAGAGATAATGTAGAGTCACTCGAAAAAACATTCACTACATTTAGTCCTCAAATATATGGCGAAGCAGAGAGCCCTTTGCTACTCAACGCTTTAAAGAATGGTTTCACATCCCTTGTCTCCGAACTCCAGAAAGCGTACGTCTCCACATACTCCCAGCAGAAAATTAGGTGGGATAACATCGATGACACTGAGAGAGAAAAGTACGCTAAAATCGCCTTGACACTTACGCCCACCGTATATGAAGCATTAACACAGCTCAAGGAAGGGCTTGAGAAACACGATGAGCTGTGGACAACTTATAGCATTTATAATTCCTCGAACACTGCTAATGCCTTACATAAATTATTCTTCCGTGAAAACGGTTACGATAGTAAGCTTCCTGTAAACGTCGCGGCCGGCGAATTAAATCACAAAAAAGGTTTCACTGGTAATAATATTCTTACACTTCTTGATAGTGATACATGTGAATTGTTTGAGAGTAGCAAACAGCCGCTTGACGACGACACTCTGAATGTCGACTTGGTAGAAGTTGGTGTTCTCCAAAAACTATTTGATCACCTTCATAAATACTTCGACGTCCGTCACTTACATCACATCGACAAACCTAGGTCACCGTGTAGCATCTATGACATGTCCCTATGGCTGTCCGGCCTCCCGCATAACCCTGTTTATGAAAAACTTAAGCAGCAGATTAAGACGATGTTCGAAGTGCCAAGTGAGACAGATCCTTCTCAGAAAATCGTGAAGCCTATGAACGCCCATCCACAACAGTTTACACATGATGAAATACATTCTGCACTTAAAGAAGTTACAGCAAACGCGTACTCACTGCTGACTGGCGTCGTCGGGCATGGCGATGCAGCAACGTTTTATGCGTGCGAGTTCCCTACCAACTCCCTCAGCCTGAAATATCCCAGTTCCGGCGCGGAGTGTCTTGATATGCTGCTTGATATCCTTCGACGGATGTTCCCGGTGCTCACATACTTACATACTCAGTGTAGCCTACGTGATAAGCACGGCGGCTGGCGTGACTGCTACTACGGCAAAGATATCAAGTCAACCAAATGGTCCTGCAAAGACCATGTTACCGACAAAGCTACGTGCCAACCAAAGTGCCAGGCAAACACCAAAGCAAGCTGCCGACCAACGTCTCCACTTATGAGTTATTTAAACGATTGTCTACATGGTCACTTGCCGCATCAATTAGCCAGTGTCGGATGTACGTCGAAATGTACCACATGTCCTTCCACTTCCATGTTTGGAATGCCCTGCTTGACGCCCATGGGGTTTAAAGCCTTTTCGGGGCGAAGGCGAATAGGCATGGACATTGCAGATGTTCTTCAACGTCTCTTTGCATATGGTAATATTTCAACATTCTCGTGCCTTGCTCCCAGGCCGCCAGTCTCTCTACCTGAACATTTTGGCCTCACATTATCATTAGTTAAATATTTGAATATTGAAAATATAAAGGAGAACGGTATGCGGGTTGCATTTCAAAGTGCTATGGTAGATGCGTTCTCAAGATCCATCAGAAGGCTCTCCATATATCAAACCTCCGACACATCAGACTTGACGAATGCACTGACCAATGCATACGGTTCTGACTCTGCAAAACACGCCGATTGCGAACATTATCATCTTCTGAACCTAACAACGTCTGGCACATGTAAAAATAAGAATGCGCGAATAGAGCGAATTCCATACATTTCATCTATATGCCGCGACTCACATCAATATTTTGTCAAACAACACTCCGACACGTACCTTACTTGGGCTATTTACTTGCCATGGGATTTTCATAAATATCTCAAATGTTTACTGGAGGCATATAAAGGAATACTCTGCCAGGATTGGGGGTGTCGTGGCTGCTTGAGAGCCGAGAAATGATAAAACCTTAGGAGAACATCGGTTTACGCCCTGGATGTAGTCACAGCAATAAATCCCATAATCTGCGCACGTGTATCTGTCAC